ATGGAAAAAATTCTCACAAAATCACCATAAATAAAATCAAAATGTAGTCAAGGAGTCAATGAGACACCGATTCAATGGAATTCCCCACACACATAAAGTCCAAGTTGTTGAAAAAGTAGAAAAGACACAAATACGAGTACATAGATGTTTTCAGTAGGAAGATAGTACAAGAGCACACACACACGTGCGCGCGCACTGAGAGTATTGCAATAGAGTTGTTAGTTGCTGGAACTATCACTGTTTGCATAGGAGGCATCCAAGTTGTTGGACTCCGAGTACCAATCGACACGCTCGAAGTAATTCTTGACATTCGGAGATATCTCATAGTCAGTCTCCATCACACACTCAAGCTTCTCGTCTCCCGACACCTCCTTCCTCATTGCATCGAATTCCGCCTCTCCTTCTCTATCCCATGAACTCATGTTTCCCACTCACTCGAATGCACACAAGCGATTGATGAATGGCCATTTGCTGTGTATGCCAATATTTATATAGGCCTCGTACACTGACATCTCGAGTTCTAATTGGTGTGGAGTGATTTCAACACTGCCTTAATGAGGGGTTTGGTATGAAATTGTGTAGTGTCTGTTGGTTACACAAGGTGACCTCTTGACCTCTAATAAATGTGAAGTAATTTCATAATTGCCTTAATGAAAGGGTGGGCATGAAATTATCCAATTATTGTGTGTAAGATCAATTAGACAAGGTATGATCTCACTCAACCGCCTTATAATAGTCAATAATATTATAAAAGAAATCAATAATCAAGCTCTTAAAGCCTTTAAACGAGGCAAATTAAGATGGCATTTTTCGCCTAATATAGGTGGCACTTAATTACCAATCTCACCTATTTAAATAGTCATCAAAAAGAAACAAATAATTATTATACCATGATTGTTATGTAAAAATTACAGAAATTGGATGAAATGACAAGCAAAAGGAGGACTTGACTAATCCTCTCATAATTTTAAGATGGCTTAATTTCCTTACTACGATGTTTTTCTAAAATAACTTCTGTTTTATTGATTTTAGTCACCCTGAGGTGAAATGGCTGCCAATAGGGGTTTCCAATCTAGTCGAATGGGACGTAGTCTGCAGCAAAATCATTTACTCCTGTTATTACTGCTTCAAAGATGCCTTTTAGTGACAATAGGTTTTATATTTGCAAATTCCCCATCTTATAAGTTCCGCTTAGACTGTGTAAAGTATAAAAGAGAATTTATTGGAAAATAGTGTTGTCTACTGGGTGTGATATTTTGACCGGTTAATTTTTTCGACCCAATTTTCATTATTTAATGTGGAACATGATGCGACTAGTGATAATAAATTTTTGTTTAACATCACGAATTAAATTTAAGACCCTGGAGCATTCGAATTAATTCCTACCCTCAACAGAATTAGTTATTGTTTGACTTCTGACAGCGCATTTCACGTTCATCCTGTCTATATTGCATTCTCTTGTAGTTGAGTATACCACGGTGCCTGATGTATATGCGCACTCTGTTTTACTCCTTTAAACTATTAGAAGGGGACTGTAAAACTGAGATGAGATGAGGTTGGAAATTCATGTCAGAGAGCTCTCTTGGATGTCAGTTGTAGGACGTGAGATGCACGACTCTATCAGGGCTGGCAAGGGCAATCGTGTGGGTAGCTGTAGTTTGGGGACAGCTGAATGTCAGTTGCACTTATTCTTAGGTGCTTAGATCTCTACGACAATTACTATTTTATAGGCAGGGGCCGATTTACGTAGAATGAACTGCAAAAGGCAATTTTAGAAAGTCCCCATCAATTGGAACTGAAACGGACCTTGTTGAGCATTAGGTGCCTTCGGCTCCTTTCATGCATCTGCACACACAAACCTCTCCCACAGCTCCTAACACTAACCACCTTCACACTATTCCATCAGATGTTAATTATCTCCCACTTTTCAGTCTAAACACGAGTTCGAAGCCTTCTTAGAATGGTTCACTCCTCAATGAACTGCATCTGAAGCTCGAATTGAAATTGCACCGAGAATTTCGTCAGTCCATTGTTCAAGTAGAAAATGAAAGCTTGCAAATAATAGCCCTTTCTTAATGATTATAAAATTTTATTTTTTACTTTCTTCTCTTCTACATTACAAATTGTGCCTAATTATGTAATTGTCTACACGTGTTCATGGGTTGGTTTTACACTAAGAACAGTGATCTGGGGTAGCAGAATATTGCCGATTTATAGTGAGGGTCGAATTGAGTGGGGAATTATTTGGAGGCAATTCTAACCTTGTGTATGCCAAGAAGCACGTTGACACGGGTGGGTAGGGGGGGGGGAATTGGAAGTGGAGCATGTGCACTGGATACAGAATGAACCAATGAGAAGTTTGGGTGCCTTGATGTCCACAGGTTTAGATTGGATGCTACGAGAAATGTTCGCTTCTTCAATCCAACTTATGTCACTCGCACACCCTGTAGACTTCCTTCACATTCCTTTCATTTCCATCCTCTTGCTCATTCTCAACCACCTTAAATCTGCCTTATTGCACAAAATGATGGGATTTGCCCCTAGATAGCCTATCAAAGTCTGAATTAGCTATTTTCGATACCCCCCACCACACCTCCTCACCCAATACATGCAATTAGTCATAATGCGTCACCTTTAAGTTCACAGATTATCAGTTTACTGAGTTCACAGCATAATTGATAATTACCCTAATTTAATATAACAATGATGCAAGAGTGGCCGTGATTTTTTCGAGTTTATACAACCTCATAACCTCTCATTTGAATTCCAAATAACTTCTAATACAGAAAGCAAACTAGTAGCCTTAAATTGGCCATTTCTAATTAAGTACCAATTATATTAAAAAAAGTACATTTATGAGCCAATATTACTGAAGATAATAATGGCGACATGAGACCGATAGCAACCGTTGTAGAATAAATTAAATATTACTGTAAATCCATGTCGAATTTAGTATTGTTGGAGAGAATGGGATTCAACAACAAATTCAAAGGGCTGAACACGTGTCGACTAAGCCCCCGGAAACTCCATTGAGTTATTCATCAAAATAGACCTCCTGTATGGTCCCTAGGCTTGCAAATTGTCTGTGGAACGAGAGTTTGACTGTAGGTACCTTGCAAAAAATTGTGTGTAGGAAGTTGGGCATTTTTAACAGCAAGTGCAAAAACGAATGTTACACTGACATTGTAAAGCCCAAAGTCAGGTAAAGGGCTAATGATAACTAACAAAACGCTTGCCATTGAAAATAAATAAGTAAATTTGGGTAAAATAATCCTTTGTTTTTTTATTCCAAAATATAAAAACCGAAGACAAAAATCACGCAAACCTTCTTTCATGAATCAAGTAAGATACCACCGCGAGATCGGGGTCTTCTAAAGTGCTTTTGTAATAGGCCAGATCAAATCGAGTTACTTCTAAAGGCATTTCCTCGTTCAACCATTTTGTTATCACAAACGTGCCAAACATGAA